TCCCTTAGTGCCTGGAGCTGCAGCCAGTCTCCCTGAAGCTCACACACCATCCACAGACTATGTGGAATAAATGGAGCAGGAAAAACAATGGGGACAGAAAATGGCCAGAAGGAGAAAGCGGTGAGGACAGAACAGACAAAGCAAGGACAGGCCAGATTACATCAGGGAACATTCTAGAAATAATCTAAGGTGCTCTGTAGATCAGGCCAGTGAGCACCATGGCAGGTCCTCCCTCTGGGCATTGCCACACCCTCACCCTATGCCACTGCTGAGGCTGCTCACCCAGGACTCCCCGAGCCCTCTAAAGAGGGCTGCCTTATACCCCAAATGACAGGCATCTGTCTGGCTCCCTCAGGAAGCTTTTAGAAGTGACAAAAAGCACAATGGAAAGTTCAGCAGATATGAACAGCACAGGCTCTCTAAAAATTATGCGTGACCAGGAGGAACATCTGGTGCTTGCCCTGAGCCTGGGGTGGTGGTAGTCCTTAAGGCCAGGGGCCGAGCTAGCCAACGCAAACCCTGTAGCTCCACACACCCAGGGCAACTGCAGAGAAAGCCAAGAACTGTTCTGGGCTGAGCCCCTCCCCTGGATTAACACCCAGGGCAACTGCAGAGAAAGCCAAGAACTGCTCTAGGCTGAGTCCCTCCCCTGGATTAACTCCCTCCCACTTTCTCAGGTCAGGAACTCCTGGGACAGAGTTCAAGCACACCGAGTTGCAAATTCCCTCAGAAGACCTCACGTGTCGTGGAAGCACAGGAAGCTGGTCATTTCTCTGGGCTAATCTGAAAACAGGGAAAGGGATGGCTCCTCGTGTTCTACTCCATGACATGGCAATGAGGAAGGCAAGGGCCCCTGGCCCCTGCCAGGAAGTGGGGAGGCCAGGTGGCGGATAAAGAAAACATCCTGGACATCTGCATAGCAGCCACCAGATGGCAGCACACACTTAGGACAGCACTTAACTAAGAAAAGGACTTTATTTTCTTCACAAAATTGAGCCCAACCAAGTAAGGGGGTGTAGCTGTGGACTGCAATCCTGCTGGTTGCCTCCCACATGAGAGTTTGCAGACAGCCTGGAATTTGGGAGGTCGGAATGCTGTTTAGCTTTACCTCCCCGGTCCTGGGGGGCTGCTAGCTGGGCTACAGATGGGGTAGTGGGAGGTGACACCATGGTGGCAAGGGGATCCCCTCAACGTGTCTCCCACACAGAAATGGGCTGGAGACAGAGGCATGGCCAGGTCACTGAACTCAGGGGTCTGGGCACCAGGAAAAGTGCTTATTGGCTCCAGCAGAGCCTGGAGGAAGGCAGAGCTCTGGGAGCTGCAGACCAGTCAGGACTCGTGGGCAGGAGTTTCCCGAGAGGTCGTCCATGCTGGCAGTGACCCCTGCCCTCGGAGGCCCAGCACCTAAGCCTCCTGGCCGCTCTGTACTGCCTGTGTGCTGTCGCCTGCGTACTGTTTCTGAGAAAAGCCTGGTCCTGCCGACTTCCTCAGTCTCGGGCCTCTCCCTTCTCCCTAAGGAGTGAGGGGACTTCGAGGACGCAGACTGCTCACCTGGGGCTGATCCTCTTGGCCACCACAATGATGTCGCTGACACTGGCTGAAGTCTTCATCTTGGCCCCAGAGCCCATTGTCATGGCCACAAGTTTTTCTGTCAGAGTGTGACAAATCTGACAAAGCAGAAAGGGATAAAGGGATGAGGGGGGAGCCTGGGCCCCCAGAGGCTTGTCACCCCCATGAAGACATACACGACCCCACCTTGGGTGCCATCACACAGCCACCTCTCACCTCGTGGCAGAAGTGAGAGGAGAGGGAAGAGGGTGGGAAGAGGCAAGAGCCAAGAGCAGGGAGTGGCGGGAGGGGCAGAGCCCAGATCAAGGGCAGGGTTTCGGCTCAGAGAAGTCTAAGCTGAAGTAATCTGCCTAAGAAAAATCATGTGCTCTCATTTCACCTTCTTGCTGAGGGGGGAAAGCTACTTTCTCTCTATTCCTTCACCTCCTGGGTTAGTTTTCCAAAACGATAAATAGCCAGTGGGGTGCCCTCGCAAACAGGGCTGGACAAAGGGTCATTGTTCCCTTCAAGCACATTCTCCAACAATGGCACTTATTTCAACAATTCCTAGGGCAACATATTAGCATGTTTGTCAAGATGATGATGAAAAGACCCCAGGAAAAACAGGGAGAAGGCGAAACTATGGCACGTGGTCCTTTTCATCATCCACCCACGAGCGGCTACTTCCAAAGCCCATTTTTCCTTATCGTGCCACCCCCATATTATAGAATGCTCTGTCTCTGGCAGAGATAGACTGTCGTATATTTGGAATTGGAAAACAGCAGAAAGAAGCCCAAGAGCCTACCTGGGAGTAAGTCCATTCTCCTCCCTTGAGCTTCCACCACAGGGACGAAGACGAGGGCTAGAACCCCTCTCTCCTGATCTGAGGTCCCCAAGATGAACCACTAATTCCTACCCAGAAAGACCCTTCCTGGCTGATCCAGTGCCCACTTCAGCAGCCACGTGTCCTCCTGCTTCATTAGAGAGCAGGGGATCAAACTCAGTCCCAGGACACAGCGTGGCTGGAGAAGGGAAATGAAATACAGAGGAATGCTCCAGCCATTGCACCTGTTACCCCTCTCTATAGCTACAGCCGTATCTGTCTAGCTAGAGAACCGCTTAGACTTAAATAAGGAGTCTGCACTCTGAGACGACAGTTTCCTACAAGGCATGTCTTCGTTCCCCCAGAGAGACAGCCAAAGAAGATGTGGGATAAAGGACTTTTAATATCATGTCCTGAATGACACTGACAAAGACAAGTTGTCTCTTTTGAAATCTTGAATAATTACTAGACAAAGATAAATGTGTGGTCTCCTGGGTTAGTCAAGTGAAAAAACAGGGTATTTGCAATTGGCCAACTATGTCAGTATAATTACTAGTCTATGAAGTAGGATATCATCAAACAAGAGTTGAAAAACCAATACTTAAGCTATAAAAGCTGCCCCAAATGCAAACTAGGTGCAATTTTAAAAAGATTGCAGGCATTCAGAGAAAAAAAGAAAAATTGCCTTCAAGCTGAAGTACAGTGGTCTCTCAGTATCAGTGGAGGACTGTTTCCAGATCCCCTGTACCAAAATTCTTAGCTCAAGTCTCTTATGAAAAATAGCTTAAAGGGGCCAGCAGGTGACATGGTGGTTAAGGCACTGGACTCCCACATGGCTGACCACAGTTCAAGCCCCAGACTTGGCAGCTTGAAAATCATGCTGGGTACCTGTGTGTACGTGCCCAAATCCCCAGGAGAAGAATGGAGGAGAAAGGATTACAGCATGGCCATCCCCCTGGGAAGTGATTTCTCACTTCCCCTCTCACTGTCTCTCTTTGTCTCTTTCCTTTCTAGCAATCACACACGCCCCATGGCAAAAACCTTAAAATAAATAAATAAATCAATAATAGTTTACTATCTGCATATAACCTACACACACTTTCCCCCAGAAAAATATATACACATATACAGATAAGCTTCTCCAGCAACTTGTTTTTTGGGAGCCATCTCTTCCCCGCTTTCATAGCAAATAGTATGGCCTGGCTGTATCATTGGTCAAAGCCCCAGATACCAAGCCTGCAGATACTGAGGCTGACAGGACTCACTGTTTGGATTTTTTCTTTAACAACGTTTGCTCCATTTGGCTGTCTACTATCGTAGCCAAAGCAGGCTGGTGAATACTTTCTAGAAATTGGAGAAGTCCAGATACAGAACTTAGCTGAGCCTGAGCTCTCTGTCAATAAGAGAAGGTGCGGAGGGAGAAGCTCTCCCCTTGGCAACAGCCGCGTGGTCCTGAGCACACAGCTTTCCCCACGGTCAGAGAAACTCTGGCTAGTGACTACCTGCTCTGTCTTTCCCATGGGTCACTGTAGGGGGAGAACCAAATGAAAGAGCACCTTTGAGAGGGCCTTGAGGAGCCTAAAGTAAAACAGGTAGTCCAGAAGGAAGTGGGAATAAACAGTAGAAACTTCAAGCATCAGGTCAGAGTAAGGTCTCTCGGGAGAGTTCAGAGCACATGCTAAGGTCCCTTTCAACTCTGTCTATGCCTGGATACTTTGGTGACTGCCCTTGATCCACGGGGAAATCGGAGCGTATTACCTTCAAGATGGCAATGCAGTGGGACATGAGACCCCTGGGGAGACAAGAAGAGGTTGTCAGTGCTTATCCAAGGAGGCCCCCCCTCCCTTCCACTCCCCCCTGCTCCTCATCTAGCTCTGCCCAGTGGGTACAGCTGGCCACCAGCTGAGAGCGGTGATGCCTGGGTTAAAGGAACAAGTCACAAGCTAAAGAGGACACACTTCTCACCCTCCCCTTTCCTGTCCCTACTCTTCCAACTAGCTGCACTCCACCTCTCAGGTTATGCTTTTTCTAACTCTGGACTTCAACAGGTCTTTCCTCTGTCCGATGGATCCTTCCCCTCGTGCTCAGCCTGATGCACGCTCTCTCACCCTTCAAGACTTCCACCAAAGGCACCCACTTTGTGACATCCTTCATGATGTGTCCTTCCTTCACCTCGGGCTCCCACCTCAGGCAGACTTAGCGCCTCTGCTGTGTGCCTGCTACATGGTGCACGGAGCTCACAGTTTCCACAACACTGGGCTGAATGCAGTCCAGGTCTGTAGTGCCTGGCCCAGTGCCCTGCACTGGATGCCCCAGAAACACAGGCCCAGCGAATTAACAGCTAAATGAGTAAGAGAATGGGGTGGTATGTACTCCTCAAAACGTGGAGGCTCCTGTTGAATAGAGAACTCCTTGGGAATACCGAAGACAAATACTTCATCCCGGAAGCCAAGAATTCAAATTCACAGGTGCCCCAAGAATAACCTATGCTCAGCAAGGCAATGTCAAACAACCTTTGTCACACATCCACAGGCTGTGGTGCTCAGGTCTACAAAATGAGGGACAGAGGGACAACACTGGCCTATCCTATTCGATTTCCTCTAGTGAAGGGCAGGGGACCTGGGAGGGATGCTGGATGCCCAACTGAGCACTCCAGCAAGCAAAGCCAGAAAAAGCACTCATTGTCAGAAGCTTCATCTGCTGTCCCCAGGGGGATGTAGGAAAGCAGATGGTCCCTAAGGCCTCACGAGGCATCTTCGATCCAGTCTTCGTTCTCCAGAATGGCTTCGATGTGGGGGTTGGTGATGACAACATCATCCAGTTCCAACTCAGAGGGCTCCGACTGGGTCTCCATGGCACCGATAAGGTCCACAATGGGCCTGGAAGAGAAGGCCCCCGTTACATGGTTTCATGATGGCTGACTGCACCTGACCCTCTCTTCATGAAGACCACACAGTTCCCAAGAATGAAAGGAGTCTGTAAGTGACAGCAGAGACCACTTGTCTTGGATCTAAATATAGCCCTAGCAGGACCACAGCTGAGGGCAGGACACATAGCTAGACAGTGAGTCAAGGAGGCACGCCATGGGCATGAAAACAAAAGAGAAGTGAAACAGAGCAAGATAAGCCACACAGAGGTACAACCACATAATTACAAAGTTGCGTTAGACAGGGCTGCTCCTTCAGGACAAAATCATATCCTTTTTTTCCTCCTTTCACAATCAAGTGTGTGAGAGTACATGACAGAGATAAACAGAAGCACCTTCCACAGGCTCGGTCACTGCGACCCCTTCCTCTAGTCCCACAGCCTGCCGGGATACTGGGCACTTATGTACGCACCAGTGTTTTTAAGCTGACCAGCTGGTGACTCGAACCATGGTTAGCATGTGGCTTCCAGCTCCACAGTCCAGTATGCCATCAACTACACCACAGAAACTAGACTTCCTTGTATAATTTCTTTTCCCTTCAAGCCTATCTTTATAAGAACTGAAGTTCCTATTGCCCAGACCTACCTATATCTCATACCGAGTCTGAATAATCACCCTTGGGAATCACCCTGGTCCAAACCCCATAAGCCCCAGTTATAGGGCTTAGTTATACTGGAGAAATAGAAGAAGTAAAAAGACTTCTTTCTTTACTACAGGGTTCTCTTTAAAGCATTTTCTTCAATAGCTCATCTAAGTGGGCATTTACAAATTATTAACCACTTAGCAGAGACTCAAGTATGATTAAGACAGAGGGGTAAGAGAAACTAAGGGTTAGTTTATATGGTCCCTTAAGGATCTATCAATCAAAACATCCCTAAACTAGGGCAAACTGGGGCACAGCAGTACCCAACTGAACCAACACGGGAAAGACGTTGGGTTCATATCCAGAGACCTCCCTGAGCACTCCAGGTATGCATGCGTGCCCATGACCCAGGCTGGCTGAGACTCAGTGTGGATCATGGCAGGAAGGCCCTGTTGAGGGTATATGTCTCTTTCTCTCAAGGACTAAGTGAGTAAACTTGAAAAATAAATCCTTAAACTAAAAATAAGATCTTGCTTTTAAAATATATTCACATAAAATGTGTCATGAAGAAATACATCATGCAAAGAGAGTGGCAGTCCCATGTGGGACTCATAAGACCAGGTGTCTATTACTTAGATGTGTGGGCATCTGACTCCTGCTCCCATGGGCTTGGCTGGGAGGGATGTGACCTATTTGAGCTCTAAGTGAAGTGGTCAGTACTGGACAAATGGCTGTCCCTTTATGCTAGGTGAACGTGTTCAGCAGCTTTCTTATCAGTTCAGAAAACAGAGCAAGAAGTAGTTCCAGAGGCTGGGGGCTTAAGCAGCGTTTTTAAGCTCTGGGGTGTTTCGTGGGAAGGACAGCCTGCAGGAACCACTTGAGAGACAGAAGTTGAGCGAGTGTCACCTCGAACCAAACTACTGCTCTTCTCTTTTCCTCTTGTTAGCACCCACTTTCCTCCTTCCCCTTTACAGGCCCACTCACTTGGAATCATAGCGCTGCAGCAGGTCTCGGGGCCGGCAGTAACGCTGCCTGCAAACAACCACCAAGGCTGCAAACGAAGCCAAAAAGATGGTGGCCAACACGCCTATGGCCACAATCACCACGGTCTCCATGCCTCCAGCTGGCTCTCTCAGTCCCGGTCACATCCTCCACGAGGGCTAATGCTTCAGGGAACACAAGATCAGAACAGACCTGGTAAAGAAGTTGCATAGAAAGAGTGGGGTAGCTGGGTTTTACCTGCTGGAAGTGGCAATGGGGAGCAGGCAGCTAGGTTCTCCTGCAGAGACTTGAGAGGATTTTTTTTGTTTTTGTTTTGTTTTTGTTTTGCTTTAAGGTGCATGCGCTCACCAGAAAGACAGAAAGAGACAGAAACAGAAAGCAAGAAATCACCCCCCAGGGGGAATGGCCACACCACAATCCCTTCTCTTCCATTCTCCTCTCTGGATCTTGGGCACGCACACACGCCTGGCATGAGTTTAAGTCACTGAGTCCAGGACTCGAACCGCAGTCGAATACATGACAGTTCAGCGACATAGCCATTACGCCAACTGCTGGTCCCTGAGGAGACTTGAAGACCTGAAGAGACTCAAGATGTATCTAATCCCCAGCCCCAAATTTTTCTTACCTTTTACTAAAAGAGTTTGTTTTCCAATTGCACCAGATGGCTTTTTTTTTTTTTTAAGAGAGAGAGAGATTTTTGCTATAGGGTGCATGTGCTCTCCAGAAAGAGAGAGACAGGGAGACAGAAAGTGAGAAACCACATCCCAGGAGGGATAGCCACACCACCTACAATCCTTCCTCCATTGTCCTCTTGGGATTTTAGGCACACATGCACGCACGCCCAGTGTGAGTTTCAAGCCTCCAGGTTTGGGACTCAAACCACGGTTGGCCATGTGGGAGTCCGGTGATGTAACCATTTTGCTATCTGCTGGTCCTACCAGATGGCTTTTTAAACCTGGGACAAAAGGAAAAACATTAGTGCTATTCTTCCCATATCTATATAAAAAAGCGCCTGGACGAATATCCAAGAAGAGAAGGGCAGGACTGAATTTACTGTGGATCTACTCTGTGCCAGACATATTGCCTGTGTTACTCTTTCACAGTCTTCTAAGCATTCCCATTTCACAGTTAAGGAAACTGAGATTCAAGGAAGCAAAAGATTTAGAAGAAAAGGAAAAGTCTAAAAACTCTGGAAAGGGTTTTAATTATGTGTCAGCGCCAGAAACTTACAACCAGGTAGGAGTGCATTGCCTGTCGCCCGGTTTCACTCAGAAGGCATTCTCACACCTGTTTTAAATCCATAGGCCAGAGGAACATGGGCATCTCTGAGAAGTACACGCCTACAATGTTATTTCATTAAGGCCTTCTACTCGCGCCCTCATGAGCAAGGCTCCTTCTCTCTCCTGGCTTTAATTTCTCCACCTGCGAAAGTGTGCTCTGGCCTGAGTCTCTGACCCCAGCAGGGTGACCTCCTGTGCTTCAAGTCTTAAAGGGTCCAAATGCTCTCTGTGGACTCTCAGAATGTTTGTACTGATCAGCTAGTGCATACTAAGCCCTGGGCTAGATTTCAAAACCTGGAGATTAATAGCACAGAGTTCCCAATTTTTTTTTTGTAGAGGTTTTTGCTATAGGACGCATGCACTCGCCAGAAAGAGAGAGACAGAGAGACAGAAAGTGAGAAATCACCCCCTGGGGGGCTGGCCACAGCGCAATCCCTTCTCCTCCATTCTCCTCTCAGGATCCTGAGCACACACACGCCCAGTGAGTTTAAACCACTGGGTCCGGGACTTGAACTGCGCTTGGCTACATGGGAGTTCAGCGACACAGCCATTAGGCTAACTGCTGGTCCCCAGACTTCCCAATGTTAAGTAGCTAGTGGGAGAAGCAGGACAAACCATCTCAACTCCATATATCTGTGCTTGGTGCAGACGTGCACAGAAAAGAGAGCAACTGCGTGTGACATTCAGTGAGGAAGCATTCTTCCCAGGGCTGGTGATGCTTGAACTGGGTTTTGAAGGGTGAATAGGAGTAGGGTTCTGGCTGATTTAAAGTGCCAAGGAGGTCTTTTCTCTGAGGTCTTACAGAGCTCCTGTCCCACTGGAGCTCACTCTGTACCCAGGGTAGTCCTGAGCCCTTCACCTCCTTATCTGAGCGTGCTGGGGGAGGGAGATGTAATTCTCAGGGCCTGCCTCAGTCCCTCCGGATCGGATCGTTCTCTGTCCTAGCCCTCCTGTCTACCTCCTTCAGCCTTTTCCTTCTTCCTCCTCTCACTTCTCTGTACTGTCTCTGTCTCCTCTCCACCCATCTCTTTTCCTCCTCCCCAGGCTCTCCCGTGTCTCTCCCTCCCCTCTGCACACTATCCCCCCCCCGCCGCCTTGGCTCCTCGGCTGTGCGTCCTGCGTGTTTCTCGGGGTCCCGCAGTCTCTCTCGGCGCTGTGCCTGTGGGTGGGCGCGCTCCCTTTTCCCTTGTGCATTCTTCTGTTTCCGCGAGTGTTCCCGTCTCTCTCCCTCTCTCTCGTTTTCTCTCTTCCCGTCCACTACGTCCTACACTCACAGGGATAAAACAGACCCAAGCTCCCACGTCCCGGTCCTCCCTCGCCCAGAACGCCCTCCCGGCGCCCAGGAAAGAGGGTCCCCAGCCGGCCCGGGGCTCCGCGCGGGGCTTCACCGCTCGCCGGCGCGCGGCTCCTACTTCCCCAACTCGTGCGCGGGGCCCGCGGCAGGAACAAAGCGCGGCGCCGGGCCTCCCCTCCCCCAGGCGCGGCCGGGGGGGCCCCCCGCCCCCCCC